TGTAAACTTCAGCTGACTGTTGGGTGAGTGAGCGTGAAGCGGACAGCAGGCCCAGCCTCGAGGGGAAGAGCTTGTGGCATGCAGGCTTTTCCTTTCTTTTTTCCTCTCGTTTCTCTCTCTCTCCTTTCTTGCTCTTCTCCTTTCTCTCTCTTTCCTCCCCCTCCATTTCCTCTTTCATTTATGTCTTTACGTGAACCTCTGAGTTGCCCAGTTGGTGCTGTGGCATCCTGCACACACACAGGCGCCGGCTTCTCCGCGGGGAAGCCTTAGACGCGCGCTCGTGAGGATCCCTGCAGTCTGCAGTGGAGGGAGTGGGGTCGGGAGCACTGGGCGTCTGCTTCTTGGAGAAAGGATATACAATCTTTTTCGATCTTAGTGCTTTTATTCCAGCAGAATACACTAAGATTGACCAGTATAACCACGTGTGAGGAACCAGCTCTGCAGCCTCGGTGTCTTCATTGCCGTGCAGCTCACCACCGTCCGCGGCAGCGCTCCATCTTCCCCAGTGAAACGGGGCCCGTTCGACACTCGCCCCCCAGGCCCCTGGGGGCACCGTGCGGCTTCCTGTCTCTGAGGTTTGCCTGTTTCAGGGAGCTCATATGAGAGGGGTCATAAAATCTCTGTCCTTTTATGTCTGGCCGATTTCATTTCACATGAAGTCTTCCAGGTTCCTCCATGCTGTGGCTTGCTCAGGATCTCTGCCTTTTTTTTTTTTTTTTTGAGACGGAGTCTCGCTCTGCTGCCCAGGCTGGAGTACAGTGGCTGGATCTCGGCTCACTTCAGCCTCCACCTCCCAGGTTCAAGCAATTCTCCTGCCTCAGCCTCCCGAGTAGCTGGGACTACAGGTGTGCACCACCACGCCCAGCTAATTTTCGTATTTTTAGTAGAGATGGGGTTTTACCCATATTGGCCAGGCTGGTCTTGAACTCCTGACCTTGTGATCCGCCTGCCTGGGCCTCCAAAAGTGCAGTATCTCTGCCTTCTAAGGCTGAGGACCATCGTGCCGTGCACACCGACCGCGTTTCCTTTCCGCACTGGCTGGGCTGCTGGTGGATGCGGCTGTCGCTGCCTCTTGGCTGTGGAGGACAGCACTGCTGGGAACATGGCGTCTAGGATTTCCTCAGCCGTTACTTTGCATTCTTTGGGGTAAACATCTAGAGGCAGAATGGATAGTTCAGAGTTCTAGGCTACCATACGGTCTCCAGGGTGAATTTTTTACTTTGATTTTTTTTCACCCTATCTTATGGTTCTGATCAATTTGGATATTTGACAAGCTGCCCTCCGAAAAGGTGTTACCAGTTTCCCGTCCCTTCCTCTGCCTGTTCTGCACTCTGGGACCAGCGCGGGGAGCACCAGCCTTGAGTGTTGCAGGCTGCCGTGGAGATGGTCAGGAGCTCCCGGGCTTCTGCCGCGCCGTGGAAAGGCCCCGCCGTCCTATTCACTGTGGCGCCTGTCCCTGCCCGTGCATCTCAAGCTGGCAGCCGATTCCTTACTGATGTGTAGAAGTTAGGAAATTCGCTTTCTTCGTGTGCTGCAAATACTTCTTCCCTCAGTTTACCATGTGTATTAAGATACTTTGTTTAGTTGCTTTTAATTTCTGTATGGACAGTTTTACCAGCCTTTTCTCCTGTGGTTTCTTGCTTTTGCGTTGGGCATGGAAAGGGTTCCCCTGTGGCAGACACAGCCAAGGGAGATGCGTGGGGGGTCCCCGTGGCCCGGCCTGAAGGAGGCGTGGAAGTCCACAGGGATGCGCTGGAGCCTGGGGTCCTGCCCCCATCTCGGGAGCAGCATCCTCTCCACTCGCCTTCTCCCTCCACAGGGCTGGGGAGTCTGCTCGGAAGCAGTGGCCTGCGGGCAGGGGCGTGGGTGCTGGGAGGGCGAGGCTGGGGCTGGACAGGGTGTGACCATCTGCAAACCACTGAGGAACAAGAAGTTCTAAATGAAAGATCAGAAAACACTTTCTGCATTTTGGGAGGAGGAAAGCTTCAATTTTATAAGCTAAATCCTTATTTATCTAAGTAATACAGCATCTCGACCCAGAGTGGCTGCAGCCTCCCTGCCTCTCCCAAGCAGGGGAACTGCTAGAGGCTTCTCAGAGCACACAGATCCCGGAACGAGCCGTGCTCCAGGTGCCGAAGCTGGAGAGAGGCAGAGGGCTGGGGAGCTTATCTGTAACAGTTCTACTCCCGACACCATCTTTTCCCCGTTGATGGCAGTGTCTTTATCTTATACGAAATTCTGTACATGTGCACGTGATTTACTCGGCGGGAGATGACGTCTTTTCAAACCTAGGCAGTGAGTAGCGGGGAGTGACAGGGCTGCTTCCCGGCTCCCCAACGGGCTGCATGTGGAGATGGGAGAAGGGGAGGGGTCGAGTGGCTTCAGAACTCGCCCTGAGTCCCCGGCAGGATGGAGTGGCCGTCGGCAACATGGGGAGCCGGTGGATGTGGGACGTGGTGGGGCAGGTGGGCCCGCCTGGGGTGTGGTAAGCAGAGAGGTCCTCACACCACCAGTGGGGATGCCCGGCAGGCGTTGGGCTCTCCGGGCCGGCGGTCCAGTGGCAGGTATGGCCCCTCTGCCCAGAGATGCCACGTGAAGCCGTGGGCAGGACAGTCCAGCCTCTGGGTGGAGTCCGGGGCGCCCACCAGGAGGGGGACAGGAGAAGAGGAGGAACATGTGAGCTGGGAGGAGGTTGGCCCAGGAGGCCTGAGAGCTGGCTGCTGGCTGCAGCCATGGGGGCCCTTTCAGCCCCACCCATGTTTCCCTTCACGAGAAGCTCACACCGATTATGTGTCAGTGCGCGGTACACTTCATGACGCTTCACTTTCGGAGCTGGCCTGGCTGTTCACGAGTGTTTACTGTCCATATGAACGTTGGAATCAGGTTGTCTATCCTCTAATTCTGTGTCTACAACCGTCAGTGTCTGTGTCCAGGATGTCGTTCTAGAGGGAGCAGCCAGCAGTTACAGCAGTGCCCTCGGTTGGAAGGGGACTGGGCAATGTCTGGAGGAAGTTTTGTCCCCACTGCTGGAAGGGGTGCACCAGCACCTAGTGGTGGAGGCCAGGCTGCTGCCAACACCCTGCAGTGCACAGGACACCCCCACAACAGGGAGGCATCTGGTCCCAAGTGTTCATGGTGCTGTATTTGAGAAACCCAGATTTAGGCGCCTACAAAACGTTCTTTCTGAAAAGGCTCGCCTCTGCCTGTTCTGCTGCTGGCTGCTGGGCTGTTTCATGGGACACGACCTTCTAAACTGCTCTTGCACAGGCTGCAGTATAGATGCTGTGTGCAACTGGAGACGTTTTTATTGTCTCCGTCTGCCCAGTGTCCGGCCCCTTCCTGTAGTTGGATGATGCCTTTGGTGGTATCCAAGGTACCCAAGAACGTTACAGACCAGCATCCCTGGCAGGCCTTTGACCCAGGCTCCTCCATCTGATGCACCTGGGCGGGAGCATGGGAAGGAGTGGGCACAAGGGCCTTTCTCCTGGCTGGAGTGGGGTCTGGAAGGGCTGGGCAGCAGGACTGGCCTTGCCAGGGCATCTGAAGCCAGGGTGGGACTGCTGCTGGCTGGCTCACACCAGGCCTCGCCGGCCCCACATCTTTTTCATCAGTTCCCTTTACTTTCAGCATTCAGTGCACGTTTCTGTTGCTTGCAACCAAAAGTCCTGGGTGTACAAACTCCCTGCCGAGAACAGCAAGTGCAGTAAGACACCGTGACAACAGCGGGAGGGAAGGCGTTTGCTGTGAGCTCTGTCACCGGGTTGGGCTTGAGGGGTGTGATTTGGACCCATGGTATAAAAAAACTGTGGAACTGGATTTTAGGAGGAGGCTTGAAGACACACTATATACTTACTGTACCATAATTTTCGTGTTTTGGTTGTAAAATGGCTTAGTGATGATTAATGACTTAGGATTTTTGGACAAAATCTACGGACTTCCCAACGTCTGGCAGAGGGAAGAACTTTAGCACCACACCCCCGGGCTGGGGGAGGTGGTCCTGGGCTGGAAAGAGAGGAGGAAAAAGGTGAGGGGAGAAGCTTGGAAAGCAAAACAATTTTGGATTCCTCGTTGAATAAGGAGCACATTCCTCACATTTGCCGCCACCGTGCACATCCTCCAGCGCGTCCGCCGTCCTCTGGGCAGCGTACGGCCAGGCTCGGTGTTGACTTTCCTGCGTTTCGGGTGGATTCACTCTGCCAGGCTCACCAAGGTCCCTTCTTCTCCAGCTCCCGTGTCAAGGCCCTGTTCAAAATTTCTCCACTTCAACAGAAAACTCGGCTTCCTCCCATCCCCTGGACTAGCTCCCATTTCCATCCCAGCACCTTGTCCCACCAGTTAAGACACCGGGCAGGACAGGGTGAAGGACGAACCACAAAACCCGCCAACCATGGCTGCTCCAGCAAGAGGCTCCTCAGGGGTGTCCTAGCATTTCCTGTCGGCTCCCTCAGGCGCCCTCCTGACCCCGGGAGGGGCCCCCGTGTCCCACGTCCGGAAGCACAGGGAGCACCGGAAATCCCACTGGAGCAGGGGTCCTGCGGTGGCCACAGCGCTGCTCGCCTTGGCCGCGTCACTTCTGCCTCCCAGAGGGACCTGTGGGTCTGGAGGGCAAGGGGACAGCAGCCTGTGAACCAGCAGACCGAGCAAGAGTGGGTGGGCTCTGCTGGCGGGACGAGGCCTTCAGCTTCAGGGATCAGGGAAGGGACAGGACAATTCAAGTGAGGCTTATGGTCAAGCCCTGCTTAGAGAGAAAACATACGAAGCGCATGTGACCTGATTCTAGCAGGCCCTGCCGGATGCCTACCCCCGTCCTCCCCTTTCCTCCGTGACAGGCCCCTTAGTTTTTAGGTATTTGGTAGCAAGTTTCCAGGCCAGAGGCTAAGCCATCCTCGGTCTTTTCCGGGCACATCTAGGTTTTGCAAGGCCTGAAGCTTCCACTATTTGGGGCCAACGGAGGAGCTTTTTCCTGAGAGAAATATTGTTAATATTTAATGGACACAACATTAGATGCAAATTGAAGTTTTATTTAGAATGAAAAAATAGACAACAAGTTACAGATTTTAAAGAGCTTACGAATTCCACAGATGTTGTGGAGTCCGGGTGAGTAACAGCCAGGTTGGAGGGGTGCGCCTCGCCTCGTCTGTATTTTTGGCTTTCTCTGAGGGTAGTGGTTTTACCAACATGCTCCATCAAAAACTATCAGGGAGAGTCTACAAAAGGTCAGGTAAGGTCAGATTCTGGGCCCTGTGGCACCTCTGCAGACCTCGATCAGTTCCTTCCACAGTGGCTCCAGGCCTTGGATCCCTGCCTCCCCATGGCTGCCCCGTGCCCAGGAGAGAGGCCCTCAACTCCAGTGAGGCAGCTCTTTTTTCAGCCCCAACGCCTCTGACGAAGTGTGTTTGTTTTATGAGGGTAAGGATCATGATGGCACAGAGCGTGTTATATGAAAGCAATGATCACGATGGCAGCTGCCACCAAAATATTTTACCAGCACACCCTTCTGACTGCAGCATTTCTCAGAAGAAAAGCTCAGGTGAAAAGTTCCTGGAATTTTCCAGATCTTCAGGTGGCTTTATTAGCATTGCCACATACCAAGAAAAGGAATTTCCCTAAAGGTTAACCTCTAATCCAGTGAAACTTTGCTCATGCCTCAAAACGGAGCCAAGACTCCGACTAACACACGTACATCAAAATGGACAAAAGCAAGTCTTGACTCACTTGACAAACAGAATAGGCACAAAAGAATGTACAATCGGTACAATTCCAAAATATCTCTTGACAGGAAAAAGCATCCTCTGCTGACGTGAAATAAACATTAACTTTGAGATTACACCAACAATGCCTTTTTTTTTTTTAAGTCAGGGTCTCACTCTGTTGCCCAGGCTGGAGTGCAATGGCATGATCTCGGCTCACTGCAATCCTGCCTCCCAGGTTCAAGGGATCCTCATGCCTCAGCCTCCTGAATAGCTGGGATTATAGGCGCCCACCACGGCACCCCAATAATTTTTGTATTTTTAGTAGAGATGGAGTTTCGCCATGTTGGCCAGGCCAGTCTGGAGCTCCTGGGCTGGAGTGATCCCCCTGCCTCGGCCTCCCAAAGTGCTGGGATCACAGGTGTGAGCCACTGCGCCCAGCCAGGTCAATTCTTTATCAGGAATTTCCAATTCCCATCTCTGTTTAACAAGAGAACTAACTGATATGAATCCTGCCTTTGAATGTTTCTGGAACACGTCCTCCACCTTCACCTGCCGGCCCCTCTCATGTCCCAGGAGCTCTTTGGTGGCAGTCAGCGTTTAGCAAATAGAGTGGAAAGCGTGTGCAGGAGACGCAGGCTTGGGTGTGCTCTGTCTGCTCCTGTGGTCTATTGGGCAGGTCCAGGGAGACGCAAGGGAAGCCTGAGGGACGCTGACTCCCCGTGGAGATTTCTCCGTACAGCACGACAGCGTGGCTGTATCCCAGATCCCTGACTCCTGAAGAGAGTCTAAAAAGAGCTGAGTTCTCTCTAAATTCTTCAATGGTTCATCACCAAATTCTTGGTTCTAAGGCTTTGAATCTTTAAATAATAGATGTGCATCTAGACTTGGGTAAAAACTAGAAACCTGTTCTCCTACCCAAGCCTTTGCTTTAGTAATTCTCTAGCTGACGGTCTGGCCGGGCGGGCACCAGGAGCGCTGAAGGCTCACTCAAGTCATTGGTGAACATGTCCAGCTGAGTCTGCGCTGAGGGACCTGGCTCTGCATTTTGCAAAATAGATACTAGCAGATCTTCCCAAGACGTGTATGGCTCATTCTCACAGCCCAAAGAGGGCACCTACTTACTCCACAAATGCGCGGCCATAGGTCATCCTCTGTCCTGTGACCCTGGCAAGCCTGATCCCGCACGCTGGGCACCCACACGGCCTGCGTGCCTTCTAGACTTGAGTTCGCAGCTCTTTAAGGAGCTCTCGGGCCAGTTTTCCTGATCTAGGGCTTTCAATGCCGAGACGATCCCATCTGTACAAGGTCTGGTCAAGAAAGCCAATGATCTCGTGAGTTATCTCGGCAGTGTGAGCCAGCTGCAATCAGGACAGAAGAGAAGGCAAATTAAAACAATTTCCAGATTTGTCCCTTTGTCCAGGGACGGACCATGACCACCCAGTCCCTGAAAGACGCCCTATGCAGCATTTCCATCAGTTCCAAAGCACAGCACGGGGAGCTCTTGTTTTCAAGGTGATTGGCACAGCAAGTCTGTCTCCACGGCCGGCTACACAGTGTGCGGTGCGGCTTCCTAACGAGCCTCCCTGCATTGAGCTCAGCTGCCAACAGCGTTAGACTCATAAAGGCCGCAGACAAGAGCTGCAATCAGAGGTGCCTCTCGGAATGCCAGTCACAAGCTGTGGGAGGGTGAGCTGCAGGGAGCAAAGGCACATGAGCATGCTGTGGCTTGACTTTCTGCAAAAGGCTCACACGAATATGAGAGTTGGAAGATGCCACCTGTTTTCACACAGACAGCCCAGGAGTCTGGCATCCCCGGGCTAGAACCAGACCTACTTGCTTTTTAACAGGCCTCTAAGGTTTTAACACCTGATTCTTGCAGGAAAGCAGGAGACACAGCCTCAAGGCATTCGTACCTGTTGCTGCCTGTAAGTATTTTCCTAAAAACTTCGGTTAAGAAAAAAGGGAAGGGTAAGAATCTTAAATTCAGCTGTGTGGGGAATTTACGGTTTTTAAGCACAAGCAGTAATAAGAAGGCTTAAGTTTTTGAAAGAGTAACCGATACTCTTTCAAAAGAGTAACCGTTTAGTGTGTGTCAGTTTGTACAGAACCTGCAAATGTTTAATTAGCCAGAGCAGCCCAAGGTCAGCTTCCTCTGGAAGGGCTGGGACGTTCTGGGAGAGTGAACAACTGCCTTGGTTTCCCAGGACTAGTCCGGTTTTGCTGCCTCCGGTCTGATGGCCCAGGACACCCTTCAGACCTGGGCTTCCACCTCCTGACCGCCAGTGAAGGGAGCCTTGTCGCATGCAGTGTGAACGGCAGCGTGGGGACGCGGAGCTAAGAGTAAACGACATGGGGCAGACGGTGACGTTTGCTCTCCTCGGCCCCCGCTGGTAGCACCCAGGGCCTGCGGCCAGCCCGCCAGGGCCAGTGCAGCCAGCACGGGGGCTCCAGCTGTGGCCCCAGCGCGTGCCAGTGTGTCCCTGGGTGTCTGTATTGCCATCACTTGGTTTTTACTCAGAAATGACAGGCACATAATGCTGATGGCCTTCGGCAGATGCAGCCCGTCCTTCATCAGGGAAACACTGTGCGCCTGCTGCTGACCCCTTTCAGAGTTAACCACCACCCAGACCCTGAGTGGGAGGATGGCCCATGGTGATGGGCTCGGCCGTGTCTGAAGAAAGACCAAGTTGTCATTACAAATCCAACCTTGCATCTTCCTTACACGCCAGCACTCCTGGGTAAGCCCTGCCCGGTTCTCTAGTCACACGCGAAAATTCGCAGCCCTGCAGCCACCTGGAGAACCTGCCTCCCTGCTGGCCTTGGCTGGTGCACCAAGAGTGGGTTCAGTTCATGTTGAGTTTAACGACTACAGAATTGAACTCTGCATCTCGGAGCCTTGCTAACTTTTGCTGCTGTTGCTGTGGCCGAGCGGCAGGAGGCAGGAGAGGGAGAAGCGGGAATCCAGGCCAGGACAGGAGGTGGAGCCCCGGGGCTGGACTCCACGCGGTCCTCTGCGCTATGCTGGCCTCCAGCAGGCATAGATGAGGGAGCGAGTGGACGGCTGGGGCAAGCCAGAGGAGTGCCCGGCGAGAGGCCAGGAGCCAGAGAGGCAGGAGAAGCGCAGGGACACTGGGCAGGGCCTCGTGGATGGAGTTCTGGGCAAAATCGGAGGGCCGAGGTCAGAGAAGATTCCGGGACAGCCAGGGAGCGGACCTCCAGGTGCCTGGAGAAGAGCCCACTGTGCAGAGCTCACAGCGGAGGCCACGCAGGAGGCTGTGGGCAGATGGGGCTGCAGGACCTGTGCGTCCTTTAGGTCAGGTGGAGCCATTTGTTCAAGCCATCTCCAAGAGGGCGCGAGGGCTTTGAAGGGAGACAGCGGCCTTTGCCTCAGGCTGCCTCGTCCTGCCCTGAGCTGGCACTGCTCTCCAAATCTGGATGCCAAGACAGAGGGCAGAGCCTGGGACCAGCTGGGAGGTGGCTGCGCTTGGGCTAGGTCCTGAGGGTAGAGAGACCCAAGCTGCAGGAAGGAAAGGCCGTCCCACCAAAGCCACCATCTGGCCACCACCTGCTCGTGGGCCAAGCAGACTTGGCCCTTTCCAGGGTGCTGTCGGCAGAGGAACTGACAGGCCAGGAGAGGCGGGGGCGGTGGGAGGGATTGTTCCCTGGAGACCCTGCCTGCCAGCGGCCACCGCAGCGAAGGCTTCTCATTAGGAAGACTGATGTGTTAATAAAGACGGGTTTTAAAACGTCCGAAAGAATAGCACGCAGGAGGCGCTTTCACCACGGCCGGCGCCCGGATGGCCAGCACCCACTAGACAGAGCCAGTGCACGAGCGCCACACCGGCGTCTGCTCCGGGAATGAGCTGCTGTGCGTGTCTTCTCTGCAGCGGAACTGACGGGGGGGGTGTGATGACCCAGCACTGGGGCCCTCCGTGCTCCTGTGGGTTCCCGTGTGGATCAGCAGGCAGGACTGAACCACGTGTCAGGATGGGCTGCCCAGCACAGGGCGCAGGCCGAGCCTCGCACCAGCCAGCTGCTTACTCCCAGCAGTGTCTCTGGGGCCAGTCTTGAGGGCGATCTGCTTTGAACGTGGACGAGTTTCCTCAGAGTCGACAGGAACGTGGTGTCAGGCTAACTGAAGCAGAGACCTGGTGTCTTTGGGGCGCTCTCTCTGGGTGATTTTCTCTCACCCTGTGGGCAGGGCTGGAGCCACCCAACTCCCATGCTAACCCCCGCTGCCAGGCCCAGGCCATGGGCAGCTTCTCCACTCAGTCGGGCCACAGGGTGGGGGAGGAAGTGCCTGAGCTGGAACTGTCCTTGCCACAGGGCAGGGCTGACCATCTCCCACTGCCCCTCCCCCAGACCCCCATAAGCACCTTCCCACTGTTTCTGTGAGTTCCAGTCTTTAGATCCACCCACAGCTGAGGGCGCCATTTGTCTCTTGCGTCTACCTTATTTCGCTCAGCGTAAAGCCCGCTAGGTTGGGCCGCATTGTCACAGGTGTGCATTTTATAAGAGTACACGAGATTCTCGAAAGCGTTCTCACTGTGCTGGGCCAGGCCCGAAGAGGTGGCACCTGGCATGTGGCAGCCAGTCGTCTTCAGCCTTGAGCTTCCTCAGGCTCTCGGATGCGTCTCAGCTGAGACATCAGAACCTGGGAGGCACAGCCTGGGCCCGCTCCACAGGACTGTCCTACCAGGATGGAGGCAAACTCCTGGCCCTGGTTCTTGGTAGGTAGGTCATTTGTTATGGGGACTTTCTGCACCTGGACACTCACATTTCAGTCGGGCCCGGCCTGGACGGGAGCAGGAGGGGCCTCTGGGGACTGGGAATATTCCTCTCTTGAGTTGGTTGCTGGCTGCACAGGTGTTGGTTTGTGAAATTCATCAAGCTGTGTGTCTTCTGTATGTATATGTCAACAAAAGTACAAATAAAAAATAAAACAAAACTCCCAGAGCCAGCGTGCTGGTGCTTTTTTTGAGATGAGTATGTTTTTAAATTGTGGTAAAATATACATAAAATGTTCTATTTTACCCACTTTTGTAATTCGGTGGCATGCAGTTGTTTACAGTGTCGCACGGCCATCAGCACCGGCCGTCTCCGCCCCTTTCCGTCATCCCCACACGAACTCCCCATCCTCCGCCCTGGGGACTCTGTGGTTCTTCCTCTTCCTGGACTTGACCCTTCCAGGTGCCTCACCTAAGTGGACTCATACAATATCCTCGTCTCTGGCTTATTTCAATAGCACAGTGTCTTCAAGGTTCCTCCAGGTTGCGGCACTGTCAGACCCTCCGTCCATCTTCAGGCCGAAGAGTACTCTACCGTGGGCACAGACCGCACGCGGCACTGCTTGTCTACGGGCATTTGGGCCGTCTCTGCCTGTGGCTGCTGATAGTGCCGCCCTGAGTGCGGGGCCAGAGGGCCGTCCAGCCCCTGCTTTCGGCGCTCGGGTATAGATCTAGGAGAACCACCTAGATCTATGGTAAGTCTGAGTTTGGCTGCTTGAGGAGCCGCGCCCTTCTTCTCCACAGCAGCTGCACGATGTTAACGTCCCCACCCGGAAGCATGTGAGTGCTCTGGTTCCTGTGCACCCTCAGGGGCGTTTTTCTCTCCTTGCTGACAGCCATCCTGATGCATCTCGCTGCACTTCGCCTCTCCCTGAGCACTCGTGCCCTTTCTGTGAGCATCTTCCCACGTGCCCACTGGCCATTGGTGTGCCTTCTTTGGAGAAGTGTCTGTTCAAGTCCTTCGCCCGTTTTCGAACCAGGTTATCTTTTTGTGGTTAAGTCACAAGAATTATTTATGTATTCTGAGTACTAAACTCTAATTACATATATTCTTTCCAAATATTTTTCTCCCATTCTGTGAACTGTGTTTGCACTTTCTTGATAGTATCCTTTGATGCACAAAAGCTTTTACTTTTCATCAAGTCCAATTTATCTATTCTTTTTTTCATTGCTGTGTCTTCGGTATCATATCCAAGAAATCACTGCCAAATCTAACGTCACGAAGAGTGCTCACTTTTGACTTGGACCATTCTTTACCCCTTAAGTCAAGTGAGCTTCAGGAAGGATTTCTTTATAATAAACCGTTTTTTACAAATTAACACAATTCTTTGCACTGTTGCAGTGAATAGCATTGTGGTTGCTTTGTGTGCACATTCTCATTGTGGCCGTATTTCTTTCCATGAGGAGGAGGAGAGCAGCACACTGCGATGGAAAGAAATATACACGGGGACAGGAGACCTGGTTTCCACTGCAGGCTCTGGCAGCAAGCCATGGGCCCAGGAGATGGCATCTCCCTTCTCTGAGCCTCCGTTTTCTCGTCTGTGACACAAAGGTGCTGGAGGGGGCAGGCTCTGGGGCCATCCCAGCTGTCAACCTCCTTGACCATCTACCTGTGTTGGGCAGCCTGGTACACACACTGCAGAGGCCACACCCTCGGACAGGGAGCCCACCTCTCGCCTGCAGCAGAAATGAGTACTCGGACGCTGGACCCCAGGGACTTACCAGGGTGACGACATCCCGGGTGAGTACTCGGACGCTGGACCCCAGGGACTTACCAGGGTGACGACATCCCGGGTGAGTACTCGGACGCTGGACCCCAGGGACTTACCAGGGTGACGACATCCCGGGTGAGTACTTACCAGGGTGACGACATCCCGGGTGAGTACTCGGACGCTGGACCCCAGGGACTTACCAGGGTGACGACATCCCGGGCGATCGTGTGGCCTCCAGGAGCCCAGAGCACGAAGTGGAGGAGAAGGTGCCTGATGAGCTGCTGTGCAGGAGCTCTGGGGTCTGTGTCTGTGTCCTGTCCTGCTGCTGTCTGCAGGTCCCAGGCTGAGAGGCTGCTGCTTCTGGACATCGCCAGGAGGTGGCCCAGCACGGCCTTCACCTGGACCTGGGCAGCAGCATTGCACAGGGGAGAGGTCAGGAATTGGCAGGACAGACGTGCTTCTAGGATTTATTTATTTGCTTTGAAGCAACCCCCAGAAAGGGGCAAGGACAGGCCCCCGAGAGAGGGCGCTTCGCAGCGGCCGAGTTTACACTCGACGCCACACAAACCCAAAGGGGCAGAATGGACATTTCTTGCCTTTCTTTCGTCTTGCTCACCAAGCAGTCAGGGCACCGTGCCAGGAACTGACCTTTTTTTGTATAAAAGGAAACAGAGAAAAGTCCTCAACGGAATGTAGTCAGATTTTTATATTGTGGGGAAAAAGAACAAAAGCCTCCTTGAAGACTCGCCTATCACAGCCACAAATCAATTAAAGCCCCATGCAGTCAGACCTCCGCCGAGCCAGCGTTCCCATACGGATGCAGGCTTGCTTTGCTTCTTGCTATATTGGGGATCCGGGCAGGGGGCGGGGGGCACACACACAGGCACGGCCATACACATGCATGCACACACACAAGAACGGCCATACACATGCATGCACACACAAGAACGGCCATACACATGCATGCACACACAAGAACGGCCATACACGTGCATGCACACAACAGACGGCCCATGATGCACCACAGAAGGCCATAGCACAACAGGCACGGCCATACACGTGCATGCACACAACAGGCACGGCCATACACATGCATGCACACAACAGGCACGGCCATACACGTGCATGCACACACAGACACGGCCATACACGTGCATGCACACACAAGAATGCATTTGTTTTTAGACGCTGGAACAATCTGTTTGTACGCGTTTAATGCTCAAGCAGAGGTCACAAGTCTGTGGAACCCACATAATAATGTTCATTGTAAGTCTGCAGGTTGTTTTTGCATAAAAAAAAACTTATTCCATGCTGAGATGTTTCTGCTTGCCACAAGAATGGTACACCCAGTCGTGACTTGGAAAACAAAGTAAAAACTGAAAGCCCAGAGCTCCAAATGCCACATGGAACTCATGAACAGTTATGTTCCATCACTTCTGAAAGAATACTCAGGCCTATTCTGAGAATTCCCATGACCAATTTTATGGATTTTATGTGAGGCGTTTTTTTCCCTGGAAGTCAAGGCCTCATTCAATGAGGTCTGTCATAAACTCCAGTACACTGGGCGTGTTGTGTGAGCTCCTCTGACCACAATACGAGACCGTGAGAAACTGCACCATCGGGTTCTTCCACGGGGAGTGGCCGCGCTCTCCCCACCTCGCCCCCCAGCCGGCCCAGTCTGCCAGGGTCTGATGGTGTCTATGGGAGCCCAAGGCCATTCTGCCATCTAACTGGGTCTGCAAAAATGCCGGGGTTGAGGAGGCTATGCCTTTATATCTTTTTTCTCTTGACCCACAATTGACTTTCCGCCCTTGTCCAATAATCCCTAAGACGGGGTCTTCTTCCTGTCTGTCTGTCCCAGACTGTCCTTCCCTGCAGTCCGCCGTGCCCATGGGCTTCCACTTGGACACCAGCAACTTTACACACGTCCGAAGTTTTTCAGGAGAAAGACAGAAGCTTTCTTTTCTTTTTAAAGTACTTTTTTATCCTGCACTATAAAAGCTCATATATGCTTACTATGGAAAATTTGTAAAGAGAAAAAGAAAAACCATTAAAATGATCTACAACTCTACCATCCAAAAAGACTCACTGTTAATAATTCAGTTTATATACTTGTCTTTTTTCTATGCACTGAGACCATACCATTCACTGCACATAATGCTTTGTATCTTTCATTTTTCTCTCCATAATGTACTATAAGCAGTTCAGTTCACTAGATCTATAAAACATGTTCTTCAAGACCTTTTTTTTTTTTTCCCTGAGACAGAGCCTTGCCCTGTCACCCAGGCTGGAATGTAGTGGTGCAGTTTCTGCTCACTGCAACCTCCACCTCCTGGGCTCAAGCGATCCTTCCACCGCAGCCTCCCTAGCTGGGACTACAGGCACACACTACCACACCTGGCTCATCTATATTTTGTAGAGACAGGGGTCTATTTGCCCAGGCTGGTCTCAAACCCATGGATTCAAATGATCCGGCTGCCTCGGCCTCCCAAAGTGCTGGGATTACAGGCGTGAACCACCGCACCCGGCCAAGAGCATGATTTTGCATGGTGTAAAACAGAATGCTATTCCACGGTTAGGATATACCACAATTTATTTGGCCAGTAGCCTTATTATTGAAAGTTTAGGCCATTTCCCATTGTTGTGTTTATGAACAGTGCTGGCCTCTGCATGGATCTCTGTTCCCTAGGGGAATTCCTAGCAGTGGAACCACAGGGTTAAAGGGTATGAACCTTGCCTGGTTCTTTTTCTTTTTTTTCTCTAGTCATCATCGTGCCTTGCCTGATTCTTAAGGGCATCTAAACATATTTTTTTGTTGATTTTGTTGTGATCCAATTCAGTTGGCAAAAGGAGATGAACTCTGGCTGCTGGTGGAGACAGTGGCTTGGCCATGAGTGGGACAGGCCTTTTCACAGGCAGGACACATCCCGGGTGGGAACACGCTTGCTCTTTGCACCCATGTTCTTTACCTCAAGGACGGCCACAGAGGCAGCGATGCCAGGCCCAGCACACGATGCGGGGACACGCGACCAGCTGATCGTGCCTTTTTAAGTCAGGCAAATGCACAGATACTGCTCATTTCAATCCAGTCGTATAAGAATCATGCTTTCTAACACAGTTCACAGTGTGTCTCTCAAGCCCCCCAACAGGCCGTCAAGGGATTAAAGCTCATAAAACCCAGGGAAACAAGAGGTACGTATCATTCATGAAACTAAAATTCCCTTCCCAGGATGCCACATACACCAATGCCTCAGCAGGCACCAGCGAGGAAGGGGCTCTGGAGGCACCAACATGAGCACTGGACTGGACTGCCAGGCAGATGGCACCTGTGACAGACGGTGGGGAGGGAAGCAGAGGCCCGCCACGCCCCACTCAGTGAGCCAATCTGCTCTCATCCAAAATCCTAGGCATCCCGAGGGAGAACGACGCAAAGGTTTTGTTATTTTTTCTTAAAAAAGGACCAAGTTAGCTAGAAGATGTGCCAATGTAGAACTTCCTAGAAATTGTTATTGAATAATTTATTTCTTTTTACTTCAAAAGTGACTCTCTGTCAGTACCCTTTTGACTGTGATGGAATTGAACACGTATCTACCAACTTAGCTTATACGGAATCAAATCAGACAGAATATAAAAGGGCTTTAGAAACCATGTGTGCCCTGTACATCTTATTACTGTTAAAAACATCAACCAGGATTTTCCTTAATTAGTTTAATGTGCTCTTTTAAAGGGGAGGAAATAAAAAGCTTTCTTTTTAATCAGACAGCAATCCTCAAATATATATGCGGGTTACGATAATTTCTTCACAAAGCTTTATTTCTGATCTAAAATAAACTATCACCAAATTTCAACTTTTTAAAATCTAAAACTATTTTTCTTTCCTATGCCATGCAAGCCTTTAAACAAATAAAACACACAGACATCTTTATTAGTCCCTGTGTTTTCAGACAACAGAAAACACGAAAGCCAAGAGGAGCTCCACATAGAATAAGCCCGTCCTCTTCAGCTACCAAGATCGGCAGAGAGCACTGGCCAGGGAAGTTTTCAGAACCGAGGAAATAAATGCTTGCAAGGAAGGTGCCAGTGCCTTTAATCAAAGCACTGCTTCCTGTAATTATCATATTCCACATAAAATAACAACTGTCTTTGCCACAGACAGTTATCCAGTCCCATACTTAGCTGCTCTGTTATTTAGGAAATGACCAACTCCTTTTTCAGAAGCAAAGTGGTTAATATCATGTGATTACTTTAGTAAGAGATGTAAACAAAGCCAGTAATGTGAGGATCTGTTGACTGATCCAAGAAAGCAGACAGTCAAGATGGAAGCAAGGACTGGCCGGGTGCTGAGGAGCGAGAGGGGGCCCCGGCTGTGGCCAGGCTCTGCTGCCAGCGCACCCCTCGGAACAGCCCGTCTCTGCAGGGCACGCCCTGGAGGACGCGACCCCGGGGCCGACCCGGCGGCCGAGCGATCACAGATCAAACGACCTCGGGGAGGAAGGGTCTTCGTTTGCGGGACAGGGGGCTACATGTGGTGTCCCGTCTCTGGCCACCTCGGTGGGGCAGGCGAATGCCTCTGACCACAAGGCTGGAGGTCGCCACGCCTGCAGGGTGCCACGACGGACGCCATCTGTGGGCACAGCTCAGGTGTCACGGAAGCCGAGCCCACGACAGAGCCCACCCCACACACATGCAGTGGGGCTGCCACCCACCATGGTCTGTGCTCTCTGCTGCCTCCCATCACGGGGGCTGTAGTAAAAGGCCAAGAGCCACAGCAGGGCCGCGGGGGGCTCGGCTGCCGACCTCAGGAGCTGCTCGGCCACCATCTCGGCCCATCCTCCGAAGCGAATGAACAGGAACCAGCTCTCCAAGGGACCTCCGCGGGACCTGGAACACAGAGGAACACAGAGCACACGGCGGCTGGCGGCTGAATTCTTCCTCCTTCGGGTTTTTAAAGCAGCTCGAGCGTTTGCCAACGGTTGGCTTAAATTGTACTTTTCCACTGACGTGCAGCCTGCAAGGAATACAATTTAGACTCAGACTGTCCAAACGCCACTTTGCGTCATCACAGGACATGGAAAGGGCCTCTCAGGACCCCTGTGAGGCCTGAGGCCTCCGGACATCGGAGTCTTTAATCCAGGTACCTTCAGTGAGGACAGGCACTGAGGAAGGAAGACTGCGGTCGTGACCAGCAGGAATGTGGCAGGACACGGCGGAGAAAGAGGTGGAGGGCGGGGCGCAGGCAGAAACATGGGCTGTTCCACTTCTGACAAGACGCAAAGTTTGGGTGGATGTTTCAGCAACTAGGAATTTTTAATGAGCTGCTGTCATCGTGTGTGCGTCAATGCCAGAAAGTTAAAGCGTTTGCGAGGCTATCCCCTCGCCACACTGGCAAATGGAAGCTGCAGTACTTGTTTTAGGGTAGAATCCGCTGGAGGTAAGGGCCACGAATTGTGTGCAGCGCCAGCCTCCGCAGGTGAACATTCCCCTTGGAGAGGATGGAACAGACCGGCCTGAGATCTCGTTAGATGAGAACTTTCCTTCTGGACTGGGGCAGCGGCTGCGACAGGAGCGTTCCTGGCCCCTTTGCTGGATCTGCCTCCATGTTCCTCTGCGTGGCCCGTGGAATTCCCAAGCTCTAAATACCATCTTCGCCTCCCTGGTCACTGCCCCAGTCCTTCCTGAGAACTAGTGGTTAAATGTTCTACATTTGAGCAACAGAGACAAAAAGACGGGAGGGTGGAGTACTGGTCTTACTCCCTCTTTCCCAGGACACAGAGCTGATGCTCTGCCGGCCACGCTGGCTGTGGGCTGGGTTAGGCTGTGTCAGAGTGAGGAGGGGACTCCGCCATGCCTCTTTCCTGCAGGCACCACGTCAGGGTAGACAGACGCACGGAGCAGTGGGCTCCCTCGTGCTCCCCAGGTTGGCAGCGTGCCTGGATCAGGACCAGAGACCAGCCTCGTCCTTCCCTCTGTCTTCCACCAGTAGCTGAGTGCACGAGGCGTCCCATGTGGCCACCTGAAAGGTGTCTCAGGGCCCCAAGGTCCGGGTTGAGGTGGGAGCCCCAGGAGGTCTAAGTCCTGCCCTGTAGCACCACATGCATCCTTTTTGGTGGCTGTTATTCCAGTCTCCACGCATTTTGACATCACACATTCTGAGTGATGGCGGAGAGGGTGGGCAGGGAGAAGAGAAAAACACCCAGGGCACCGCATTTCTCAATCACAGGGTGGCCTGCTTATGCCACCTCCATCTACTTCCCTGTCCCCGAGTTAAGATTCTTCAAGGTCCAGCTCTGTGTAATGCCAGGACAACCAGGGAGCGGGTGTGTGGGGCCGACTGGCCACTGCAGGCTATTCACGCGGCCAGCCGTGGAGCCCCCTGGCTGCAGGCCTTTCGCTCTGGTCTCTGTCAGTGAGAAGCACGGTGAGGAAGGAGTGAGCAGCTGGCACCCGAGCCATCAATCGCAGAGATGATGTCACCCATCGTCTGTGTCAACTTGGTGTGAGATTACAGAGAACTCCAGGAGTGAAAAGTGGCAACAGGAACAAATAAGATAGTCTTAGTAGGCTAGCAGGGACAATGAATAAAATTATACTCTAAAAGAAAGGGAGTTAAGAGGAAGCCAAAGAGTGTTATAATACAAGGAATTCAGCAAGGCATAAATGTGAATGCTTTCAGGGAAATCACACACGTAAGACGGTACGTAACACTACTGTTAGAAATTAACAGGCTGGGCACGGCAGGCCACACGGGTAATCCCAGCACGATGGGAGGTCAAGGCAGGGGATTACTTGAGCCCACGAATTTAAGTCAATACAGCGAGACCTCTACAATTTTTTTTTTTTTTTTTTGGAGACAGAATCTCGCTCTGTCACCCAGGCTGGAGTGCAGTGGCGTGATCTCGGCTCACTGCAAGCTCTGCTTCTCCAGTTCACGCCATTCTTCTGCCTCAGCTCCTGCCTCAGCCTTCTGAGTGCTGGGACTACAGGCGCCCGCCACCACGCCCAGCTACTTTTTTTTGTATTTTTAGTAGAGACAGGGTTAGCCAGGATGGTCTCAATCTCCTGACCTCGTGATCCACCCGCCTCGGCCTCCCAAAGTGCTGGGATTACAGGCGTGAGCCACCGCGCCCAGTCACAAAAAAAATTTAAACATTAGCCAGGTGTGGTGGTGTGTGCCTGTAGTCCCAGCTCTCAGGAGCCTGAGTCGGAGGATTGATCACCTAAGCCCAGGAATTTGAGGCTGCAGTGAGATGTGATCATTCCACTGCACTCCAGCCTGGGCCACAGAGCAAGACCTTATCTCTAAAAATTAAAAAAAAAAAAAAAAAAATTTGTTAGAATAGGTTTTCTCATTTTAGAGGTATTTATTAAAGAGAAGGAAAACAAGCATTTAACATTCCACCCTACTGTGCAGAAGTTGCAAATTTCCTTCCCTAGAGAGGAAGAGAGAAGACCAAAGGGCGCCCAAACAAACGCCTTTTCCTTCTGAACGGCCAGGGCTTCCCAGCAGGTGGGTGCTGCTTTTTCCAGCGTCTCTTCTCTTCATTGTTATGCCTGTATATTTTGAAATCTAAAATCAGACATTACGTAGAAACGTTTCGATACAGGTGTTCACACACGCATACACGCGCATGCCTGTTCATCCTGACCTGCTCCAAGCCATCCGTGCGGCCATGTGCTTCCTCCACTTCTCACTTCACCATGGTGCTCACCTGTTTGGTGACGGTCCCAGACCAGTAACGCCTTCCTCTGTCCTGTCAGCCCTGCTCAAAGGGCAGATGAGGATCTAGGGAACCCGTGTGTGCAGTAGATTTGGGAGTGGTCAGTGTTTGCTCACCCATGAGTCTGGTCTTCAACCGCTTCTCTGAGCAGTTCGGAAATGTGCTTCAGTGTCTGCAGCCAGCGTCCCCGAGGGACATCTGCGGGTGGAGAGAGACACGTCAGAGGGCAAGTGAGGAAATGGCAAGCCGGTGAGGAGCCACCTGCAGGGACGACCTCAGAGTCTTCGGGAGACACCCTTCACTTCTGCTTCACAGAACCCAATACTGTTCGCATGCTCTTCCCAGTCAGTACCTCTCTCTTAAGCAAGATCTGTCCATATTACACAGAGCTGAACCTCAAAGAATCTAATCCCTTTATTTAGTTTTGTGGGGGTTTTTAAGACACAGTATTGCTTTGTCAGAGGCTGGAGTGCAGTGGCACGATCCCGGCTCACTGCAGCCCCAACCTTCTGGGCTCAAGCAATCCTCCTACCTCCGCCTCCCCAGCAGCTGGGACTACAGGGGTGCACCACCATGCCCAGCTATTTTTAAAATTTTTTTGTAGAGATGAGGTTTCATTATGTTTCTCAGACTTGTCTCAAATTCCTGGGCTCAAGTGATCCTCCCCCTTGGCCTCCCAAAGTGCTGGAATTACAGGCATTAATCACCACACTTGGCCTCAAGTACTTTTGAATTCAGGTACATGGAAGTAGCTAGAGATTGCATAAGCAGCCCCTGCTGAGACTGGGAAATGCCGGCTGCGGATGCCTAGGTTTCTTCTTCTCTACCTACCCACTCCTCCACCACTAATGTGTGATTTCAGAATAGAGAGAGACTGTAGTAAAGCAGCCAACAAGGAACTAGGAATAGACGGCCTGACTGCTTTCCTAGGGCTGTGATGAACTCACAATATGATTTCAGGTTTACAGTGGAAAAAAAGGCCAGGAAAGAAAATAAGTGAGCATTATGCAAACAAATGTCTTTTCTTGAGTGAGCTGCTCTGGTTTCACAATCATCCTGTAGTTTTAAACACATCTGAGCAGCACATATCTGCAATTCTATGCAGCATCTGCAAAAATTTTCACATAGTGATAGATGCTACAATCGAACACACAAGGAAGATAAGGCGAGTGATGGACGAACTGCTGCTACTCCACAAGGCCAGTGCCTCCCTCCTCTGAACCCCCGCGGCCCTTGGAGCACAGCCTTTTGAAGGCATTTTTCGTTTCTTCCTTTTAGTAGCTATTTAGACATTTATTTTGCATTTCCTCCACTTGTAGTTCCTACACAGTCAGGGCTTGGAAGTGATCATCTTTTACACCCCTCCCCCGACCTTCACAATGGGCATGAAATAAATTTCTGATGAACAGAAGTTCATGCTACTAACAAACACTTCTTCAGTGTGTGACCATCACACTGTTTGCCAAAGTAACACACAGACAGCTGTTCCAGGAACTAGCACCAGAGGTTCCTGCACTTCTGCTTGAAGCCACCTATTTCTATTTGGACATAAATCTACGAGTTACACAAACGGAAAGGTAGAGGGTTGGGCCCGTGCCCACGCACCACCTTGCTGTTTGTTTGCTGTTTGTTTGCTATTTCCACACGGAGACGCTGACGACTCCGGTACATTTTCTGGAGCTCACTCGGCGCCCCCTGTCGGCTGACTTCAGGCTTTGCTGGTCTGACCTAAGCTGTAGGGTGGACCCTGGGAGAGTGAATTCCTCATTTTTGTCTTGTTAATAAAGTTTTCCCAAGGGTTTTCATAAAACTGTCACCCAGAGACCCCATCCCCAGCTCCGGCATCTGAGAGGACAGTGTCAGGGGATCACCCTGGGCAAGAACCTACATCTTCTTGAAAAAGGAAGAGGAATTTAGGTTTTGTAAAATGCTCTGAAACTTTGAATCATTTGCATTTCTCAAACAAATCTACTCACTCAAGTTTCAGAAAAAAGGCAGGCCCAAAATGGCATAAAAAGGAAATGTGACTGGCTCGTTCCCTCTGTCTCCTCTCCTGCCGTGCTCCAATAAGGCCCCTTTCTGGCTGGCACAGTCTGTGCCCACGTCAGGACTGCCTTCCGTCAGGTTTCAGGCCTCAGAGGGAAAGGGGGCCCTTATTCTGTATTTCTGAAATGTCTCGTAAGCATGAGCTCACAGCCACATTCCTGGATCAACACCAGTCGAATGAAGGCTGGAACCACCACTTCCCCACCCGGATAGCCTTTGGAAGGCTGGCAAAGGGTATCAGGAAAGGCTGCGGATGAAGCACCTTATTGAACTCTCTCAAAATCCTTCCCTTAGCTTGGTTAGGGGGAACCTCCCCTGAATTTCCTCAGCTTCATCCATCATTTTATCTTTTCTTCTGCAACAAGGCTGCACGGAGTAGAAAGAATGAAAAGCAAATGAAGGTACTGTTTTCTTCCGACTCAGCCACGTCTTGGCCTGTTCCTGGCATCTGGCGGACCTGGTTGGCACCAGCAGAGCCTGTGTTATCTGGAGGCAGACTAGCAAGACCTACCAGAGGCCACTGGGGTTTTTTTTTTCCTCCTTCTTTTGGGAAGTGATCACAACTGGGAAGCCAAGACGACTCTCATATCAAAATCTACAGAATGTGGGATCCTGGGCGCTCAAAGGATCTTAGAAATAACCAGCTGTGTCTCCCTCATGCTATAGATAAGGGCCTGGTGGGGAGGCCATCGTTTGACAGTGCTCTTCCCAGGAAATCATTCTGATGGGGGCAGAGTCAACCCTAACTCACCTTGAGGGTCTTGCAGCAGCACCATGGCAAGAGATGGAGAAGTGTAAGGAAAGTAGGTCTTGAGTGCAAACCGCAGCTGCCACAGGATGGAAAATCCAAAGAGCATGAACATTAAGATTGAAACGGGGTCAGGAAAATACAAAACTCTGAGTCCTCTGCCCAAAAAGACCCACCAGTACTAACATGGTCAGAACACTTTCTGAAACGTTTATTTTTTGAAAAATAAGCTCCCAGTAACCTCATATTTTCCAGAATAATTAACCTTTTAAATCACCTCCTGGGACTTAAGAAAAATAATAAAGTTATGCTCTTGATGTCTTTATGAGTTCTACCTCACATGAACCCAATTACACAAATAAACCTTCTATTTCAGAAAGACTTGTCAGAGCAGTTGTGAGATGTTAGGTATTTCAGCATTTTTTTTTTTTTTTGAAACGGAATTTTGCTCGTTGCCCAGGCTGGAGTGCCATGGCGCGATCTCAGCTCACCGCAACCTCTGGCTCCCGGGTTCAAGCGATTCTCCTGCCTCAGCCTCCCAAGTAGATGGGATTACAGGCATGCGCCACCATGCCAGGCTAATTTTGCATTTTTAGTAGAGATGGGGTTTCTCCATGTTGGTCAGGCTGGTCTCGAACTCCCGACCTCAGGTGATCTGCCCGCCTCGGCCTCCCAAAGTACTGGGATTACAGGCGTGAGCCACAGCGCCCGGCCTGTTTTTGTTTTTTTTATTTAGATGGAGTCTCGTTCTGTTGCCCAGGCTGGAGTAAAGAGGCACAATCTCAGCTCACTACAACCTCCACCTCCTGGGTCCAAATGATTCTCCTGCCTCAGCCTCCCGAGTAGCTCGGATTACAGGCACGCACCACCATGCCAGGCTAATTTTTGTATTTTTAGTAGAGATGGAGTTGCACCATGTTGGCCAGGCTGGTCTCGAACTCCCGACCTCAGGTGACCCGCCCGCCTCGGCCTCCCAAAGTGCTGAGGTTACAGGCGTCAGCCACTGGGCCGGCTCAGCGTGGTTTTAAAAATCACAACAAAAGCATAAAACAATTGTGCTCACTTTTCGAGGGTCAAAGAGCTCCAGCTATCCACACCCCTAAGAGGCACAGCTTTTTAAAACATTGAGGTAAAATCTATAAAGCATGGAGTGCAAAGGCTTTAAGTATATGAGGTTTTGGTAAACGAGCAAATCCACGTGACCGCCACCCCCGTGAAGACACCATTTCTATCACGCCAAGAAGACCTCTTCCAGCTCTTAACAATCGTTCCCTCCACCCCACCCTGGCAACCAATATTTTGATTTTGACAAGAGAGATTAAATTTGCTTATTCTTGAATTTTGTGTAAAGGGAACATAAAGTATGTTTTCTTTTGTGTCTGGCTTCTTGGGCTCAACATGTTTTTTTAAAGATTAAACCATGTTATTGTGTGCGAGTAGATCATTCTGTTCTTATTGCTCAGAAGTAGTCTGAATGGTATGAATATGCCATAGGCTGTTTGGCCATTCTCCTCTTGATGTGCTGCTTCAAGTTTGGGCTGCTTCCAGTTGAGGGCTATCATGAATAAAGCTGTAGTTCACATGCATACATATGTCTTTTTGTGGACATGTGTTTCTGTTTCTCCTGGGCACACCATTGGAATGGAATTGCTGGGTCACAGATAGATGCTTGTTTAACATCGTAAGGCCATATGGTTTTCCAGTGTTGTGCCATCTCACTCCCACCAGCAATGTGTGTGAACTCCAGGTGCTCCACGTGCTCCCAGCATTTGGTGCTGTCAGTCTTACTAATTTCATCCATTCTAATGGCTAGGGAACATAACCCCATGTATGCTTGCTTTCCTACCTGTTTCACTCTGCACTTTCCTGATGGCAAATGATGCCGAACAATTTTCATGTGCTTACTGCCAATTTGCATATCTTTTTTGAAAGTGTATATTCAAGCCTTTTGTCCATTTTCGAAACTGGTTTCTTAGGCAGTTGTAAGAGATCTTCATATATTCTGGACACATGTCCTCTGTTGTATACATGTATTACAAATATTTTCTCCTAGCTAACGGCTTGCTTTTTCAGTTTCTTCTTCTTCTTTTTTTTTTTTTTAATTTATTGAGATGGAGTCTTGCTCTGTTGCCAGGCTGGAGTGCAGTAGTGTGATCTTGGCTCCCTGCAACCTCCACCTTCCGGGTTCAAGCGATTCTCCTGCCCCAGCCTCCCAAGTAGCTAGGACTGAAGGCACATGCCACTACCCCCGGCTAATTTTTGTATTTTTAGTAGAGACGGGGTTTCACCACGTTGATCAGGATGGTCTTGATCTCTTGACCTTGTGATCCACCCACCTCAGCCTCGCAAAGTGCTAGGATTACAGGCATGAGCCACCTTGCCTGGCCTGCTTTTTCAGTTTCTTAATGATATCTACCAAAGCATATAAATTTTAAATTCCTTTCTTATTTTTTGAGATATGGTTTCACTCTGTTGCCCAAGCTGGAGTGCAGTGGCATGATCATAAGCCTTGATCTCCCAGGCTCAAGTGATCCTCCCACCTCAGCCTCCCGAGTAGCTAGGACACAGGTGTGTGCCACCACGCTCAGTGAAAAGGGGTCTTACTTTGTTGCCCAGGCTGGTCTCCATCTCCCGGGCTCAAAAGATCCTCCTGCCTTGGGGCTCCCAACGTGCTGGGATTCCGGGCGTGAGCTATGCCCCCAGCCTAGAAGTTTTAAATTCTGATGAGGTCTAATTTATCCATTTTTCTCCTATGGTTAGTGCTTCTGAGAAATCTTGGATCACCTCATGGTCAAACAGATACATTCTCCTACGCTCTCTCTAGGGGCTTTATCTTTCTAACATTTCTGTTGAAGCCCATGATCCTCTCCAATTAACTGTTGTGTGCTGTATAAGGTAATGGTTGAGGCTCATTTTTCTACATAGGGACATCCAGTTATTCCAGCATCATTTGTTGAAAACGTTCGTTTCCCCATTGAATTGTCTTGGCGTCTCTGTCAAAAATCGATTGGCCACATATGCATGGTCTGTATCTGGACTCAATGCTGATCTACGGTTGTCTTTTTGCCAATACCTCACTGTCTTGATTACAGTAGCTTTTAAAATCTTTTTTTTTTTTCATTTTAAGACAGGGTCTCGCCCTGTCATCCAGGCTGGAGTGCAGTGGCGTGATCATGGCTCCCTGCAGCCTCCACCTTCTGGGCTCAAGCAATCCTCCCACCTCATCCTCTCGAGTAGCTGGGACTACAGGCATGCATCACCATGCCCAGCTAATTTTTTATTTTTATTTTTTTGCAGAGACTGGGGTCTCACTATGTTGCCCAGGCTGGTCTTGAACTCCTGGACTCGAGCAATCCTCCCACCTTGGCCTCCCAAAGTGCTGGGATCACAGGCATGAGCCACCGTGTCCAGCCAGGTCTTCGGTTTTTTGTTCAGTCTGACATTTCTGCCTTTTTACTAGAATATTTAACTTCCATTTAATGGCTGAAATTAATGTCATTCGTGGTAGTTTTGGGTTTAGGTCTACCTTTTGACATTGGTTTTCTTTTTCCCCCTCAATTTTTTTTTGTTCCTTTGGCAGTTTACATTTCTATTTTTTGGCACCTTAATTCGATCCGATTGTGCTAAGTTCTGGCCCTCCCTGGCCCCACACCCGCTCCCAACCTCACATGAGGGCAGCTGCGGGGGGCGGTGAGGGGGGCAGGAGACCTCTCAGAGTGGTGTTCCTTTAAAGCGCTGGTGGCCTCCAGTCTCCGTCCACTTTTTCAGGTGCTCTGTATGCCTTCAAATAGATTTAAAAAAAATACTTTGCCTGGAGTTTATCATTTTTATCTCTGGGAGATTTAATCCAGCTCATGAGCAGATGCTGTCATGGCTGCAACCAGAAACTGAGCTGACTGGCTGTACTGAGCCACAGTGCAGGCTTCGGATAAGTGGCTTATCACACCCACCTCGATTTCTGCCTACTGTCTGACAGGGCATAATGACGGAGCTGACTGTGTCCTCCACACAGAACGGGGCAAGAGCAAAGGGTAACAAGAGACAGAATCACTGACGTGAGTGCTTCTGATGATGGCTGAGAATGTGGATTTACGGGATCACTCATAAACCGTTGCAGGAAGTGCAAATGGGCACCAACACTTCTGAAATGAGTCTGGCAGGATCTATGAAAGCTGAACCTCTGCATACTGAATACACTTCCACTCCTAAGTACCTATCCCAGAGTGTCCACAGCAACATGGCGGGATCTATGAAAGCTGAACCTCTGCATAGAACACACTTCCACTCCTAAGCTCCTACCCCAGAGTGTCCACAGCAACATCGTTTGTAATAAAACACAAAACCTGGAAGCATCCCCAGTGCCTCCCAGCAGCAGGATGGCTGTACCGCCACACGTTTTCACATGGACTGTGCATAACAACACTTCCCCACAGCCACACATGGCAACGTCAAGCAGTCTTTGCTGAGTGGAAAAGGAAGTCTCAAAAGACTGCACACAGTATGCTGCTCCTGTTTGTTTTATAAAGTGCAAAAACAACCGAAACTAAACAAAACATTGTTTACGCAGTCATATATATGTGATCAAACTACCTTTAGAAAGAGCAAAGGAATAATAAACATAAAATTCAAACCAGAGGTTACCTGGAGGGAGAGAGGCAAGGAGGAGTATGTGTATAGACACGTATTCAGATGATTAGATATCAGGTTTACAGATATTCATTTTACTAAGAAAGAATTAATGAATAAACCACAGAGAGAAAAGAGGGTCATGCATCTACCAAATATGACATGAGGGGTTTTGATTAGCTAAAAATGGACACTCAAGAAGGCAGAGGGTCAACAGATGCGGACGGCCATCAGTTAAAAAGGCAGGCACGCAGAAACAGCTCCAGGAAGAGAAATAAACGAACAGATACCTATGCAGGCATCGGCAAAACGAAGAGACTTTGCTCTCCTTTGTTGAGCTGAAGGTGAGGGTGGTGAATTCCTGTTTGCTTTCGGATCCCTGCCCTGCCTCACACCAGGACCCCACGTGTGGTCCCACGTCCTTAGATACGTATGCCTGGTCAGGGCACTGTTCTCAATTAAAAGCAACTGCGACATCAGTCCCAATCCATAGTGGCCACGGCCAAATCAGAGGCTGAGGGTGAAGCCAAGAAGAAAAACAGGCGTGCGCTAAGCCTAAAGAGCACGGTGGCGTTCCTCCGCGGCCGCTGCTCCAACCCAGGTGTGCTCTGCGAGGCCGAGGTGAGACTCCCTAGAGGCCCGTTCCTAATGGGGACTATAAAGACATTGACAGTTAGGTTTAAAATAACCGTGAGGACCAGCCGTGCCTTCCAGCTGAGCCGCCTCCAAAACTCTAGGTGGGACCATGGAGAGCGCAGCTTGCTACAGCCCAGCTAACTTCTCCAGGGAAATTGAGGGTGGGAAAAAATAAATCACAGATATTTATTGTTGGCCAGGCACAGTGGCTCAAGCCTGGAATCCCAGCATCTTGGGAGGCCAAGGTGGGAGGATCCCTTGAACCCAGGGGTTCGAGACCAGCCTGGGTAACAGAGAGACTCCATTTCCACAAAAAAAATTTTAAAAATTAGCTCAGCGTGGTGGCTTGAACCTGTGGCCCCAACTACTCAGGAGGCTACGGTGGAAGGATCGTTTGAGCCCAGGAAGCCGAAGGCTGCAGTGAGCCATGATCACACCACTGCACTCCAGCCTGGGTGACAGAGTGAGAGCCTGTCTCAAAGAATAAAATAAATATATATTGTTGTTATAAAAAGCAGAAACAGGCTGGGTGTGGTGGCTCACACCTGTAATCCCAGCACTTCGGGAGGCCAAGGTGGGAAGACTGTTTGAGCCCCGGAGTTTGAGACCAGCCTGGGCAACATGGTAAAACCCCATCTCTAATAAAAATGCAAAAATGAGTGCTCCCTCCAGTCCGTGCCTCCAATATGACGAAGAAAAGAAGGAACAACGGTCGTGCCAAAAAGGGCCGCGGCCACGTGCAGCCTATTTGCTGCACGAACTGTGCCCGAAGTGTGCCCAAGGACAAGGCCATGAAGCAATTCGTCATTGGAAACACAGTGGAGGCCGCAGCGGTCAGGGACGTTTCTGAAGCAGGCGTCTTCGATGCCTACGTGCCTCCCAAGCTGTGCGTGAAGCTGCAGCACCGAGTCGTGCAATTCACAGCAAACTAGTCAGGAATTGATCTCGTGAAGCCCACAAGGACCGAACACCCCTACCCCGATTTAGACCTGCGGGTGCTGTCCCACGTCCCCCACCAAAGCCCACGTAAGGAGCTGAGTCCTTAAGGACTGAAGACGGACTATTCTCTGGAGAAAAAAAAAATGGAAATTGCACTTAATAAAAGTAGCCATGTGTGGTGGCATGCACCTGTGGTCCCAGCTACTCGCGGGGGCTAAAGTGTGAGGATCACCTGAGTGTGGGGGGTTGAGACTGCGGTGAGCTGAGATCACATCACTGCATTCCAGCCTGGGTGACAGAGTGAAACCTTGTCTCAAAAAAAAAAAAAAAAAAGAAAAGAAAAAGTAGAAATATCAGCTAAAACCTAAGAGATCTGTTTGACATTGACGAGGGTGTGATCCGGTGGAGCCAAGCACTGTAGCTCTGCTCTCAGAAGTAGAACTGCAGAGAGCTTCACAGGGGCCGTGACATACTCCACAGATGAGATGCACTGGACCAGCACCGCTCTCGACAGGCAATATGTCCCATAAACATTACTTCTGTGGCCGTTAGAAATCAAGGCCAAATAAAATGCTGAAAGGTGAAAGCTCTCTGGTAGCAAAGGTTGCTGTTTCACGAGGTCACTCTAATTGGTCAGTGACCCTTGGCAGCTGTTGCCCAGCCTCTGCTGCTGGGGACCTGGAGCACAATCTTCTGCAGGGTTCGGGCCTGGCCTTTGGTTTACTGACTGTGCCTAACACACACCTCCCGCTCACTGCCCTTCCTCGCTCCTCCTCTAGTTAGTCAAGCCTTTCCCAGTCACTCTTACCACCTCCTTTCCTGGAATCCAATTCACATTTGGGTCTCTGATAAGAATAAAGATGCAAATAATGAAGAATGTCCAGGACTGCTTTGCAATAAACGCCCTTTCCTATTCAGTGCATGCCATACAGACCCCAGGACGCCTCCTGCGGACCTGGGAGGCTCAGATGCAGCCAGAGGGCAGTGTCCCGCTCGGCAGACAGCGCACAGCACAGGGCCACGCATGCTGGCTCGACAGAGTTCTCAGATACAACAGTAGACAGAGGCCTGTGGGTACCAGGGCACGGGACAGACAGATCTTGATTTGTGTTAAGTTAAAATGGTTTAACCTTTGTTGGGGGACTCATTAGGAACCTTTCTTTGTGAGCAAAACAGTCCATCAGAATTACTGAAAATAAAGTGCTCTTGTCCAAAATACTCCCAACAGCCTCTTATTCTTTGGGATGAACGAGTAATAGATGCAATATAACAAACCTGCTTGTTTTCTTTCTCCAGAGCTTCTAGGAAGCACTGCGTAAACACTTGAATAGTGGCTATGATTTCCGGGGCCCCATCGGTTTCCAGGAGTGCACACCTGAACAATGCAAAGTCAGATCAGAACACGTTTAACAAGTAATCCGGCAAACATAAAAACCTGTACCGTATAAGGGAAGAGTGGGAACACTTTTTTTGTGCCATAAGCTTCAGCAGTATCTCAACTCATCAGATTTCAGTCCTTGTGGGAAAGCAGGATAAATCTGTTGCTCCCTTTTGTAAATATTTTCTTTAAAATTGCAATGTGTAGAGCTCTCTTTCTTGGTTCTTAAATTATTAAGCAATGCAAATGCCTTCCATACAGGCTTGCATACTCTGTACAAATATTTTTGTATTGTATGCCTGGACACGCAACGTCAATATTTTGCTTTCACAAGTGGAGAAATGGCTTGGTCCATCCACCCAGCAAAGTAGGAAAAGAATCTGTGTGTACCTGTACCTGGTTTGGTTTCCGTGCATTTTCATACAATTAATTTTTCTTTATGTTTAAGAAAAAAAAAAAAAACCCTCAAATTTTGCTAGCTTTAAACCCTAAACAGTCATTACTGTAAAAATTCCTTTCCCCAAAGTCTGCAGTCTGCCCTGCAGCCTCTGCTGCTGTGTAGTAGGTGGGAGGGACTAGAGAGAGAGCTGATACGGGTTCCCCTGGAAGAGGGGCTGGGACACTCCAGATTGACAAGCTCCCCAGCTGGGTCCAGTCTTAGTACTCCATGGTTAAAACTCCCACTAACTGCCAGCCACAGCTCAGCTTCATGGCTACGAGCTCCTCGTCTCTTGCCGTCTGTAAATCTAACGCATTTTCCAAGAAGTACTCGTATTTTCAAAATAAACATTCAATGTGTTGTAAGAGAACATGCAAGGTGTATTTTGCCCCACAGAAGAGCTCTGTTAAGAATGACTATTTATTTATTTTTCTTGGCTTTCTTTAGCTTTAAAGTCTTTTAAAAAGATTGGTCAGCCCTCACGTGGTGAAGGGAGCATATTGCTACCCTTTATTCTGAGCTGAGAAAAATCCTACATGAATATTTCATGATATTAATATCTAACTCAATTCTGTGTTTCTATTATTAGAATCTTTAAAGGCTAAAGAAAAGAAAGTTATCTTAATTCTTAGGCGCTGGCCTTTGAATTTACACTGATTTTTTAGTTTTTACCTCTAATTACCACAAAGCTCAGAGGAATAGGAGGGAATCAGAAACTCTATTTCCCTGTGGTACAGCCAGAGACTACCACAGCATTTTCTTTTCGTGTTTGGAAATGGAACCTTTTTCGCATCAATTACTAGAAGAAACAGTGTAACATTTACCTGAACATCTCATCAACAACCCGGAATATGGCAGGGTGGCAGGCTGCTTGAGGCTGTAAAAGGAGACCAGGAGAAGGTGAAATATCACAGCCACTTTCTCAGAAACTTGCTATTATCAGCCCCAGGAGTTATCGGGAACTGCTCATGTCCAGAACACTGGCATATTCCTTTTGGTTAGAAAACAGAAGCACTGCTGGACTGAAAACAGCCCCCACACAAGCGCAGACGGTGGTCTCCTGGGCAGGGGTACAGGCTTCCTGTATATTCCTCTGTATACTCCTGTATGTCCCACGTTTTCTACAAAAGCTCAGGCGATCCATAATACAGGATCAGTAGGTACTACGGAAACTTACACATCCTCTGCCCGCATGCGGGGGCTGCCTGTGCCACCTCCTCAAACGGCTCCCGTGCTCCAGGTCGGGCCGTGCCTGCAGCCTGCGCCATCCTGCGAATTCGGTCACGGGTACGTGGTAATGCAGAATTATTACTGGCAAACCAGCGACCACCACGCTGGACTCAATCACATCGCATCTTAGTGCACTGAACAGCTTACGTGATTTAAGACGAAAAGCGGGTTCGTGAAGAAGAATAAAAGGCATCTAACTTCTCTAACTTCCCCTTGATGTTCCGGCCGCCCAATCCCCGGTTCCCTATGGTTCTGGCCAGAGCTCAAAGTAGGAGACGATGCCCGATGCAAACGCCCATTTGTGTTCCAAAACAGGCCCTTTATAGCAGGGTCCGTGATGTTTCTGGCACCAGAGCGGCTTCGTGGAAGGCGCGTGTCCGCAGACGCGGCGGGGAGACGGTTCCACGGAGCGGCCGCCCTCAGACCGGGGGATTCCGCGCATGCGCAGTCACCGCGGGGCGGCTCCGACGCGCAGGTGGATCGGGGCTCCCGGAAATTCAGTCACGCTGCACGTGCTATGACCATAGCCTCGGGAAACGCTGTTCGCGGGCCCCATCCGCCCCATCCGCAAGAAAAGAGGCGGCTTTGCTCCGCCCCGTGCCCCGGCGCACACTGAGGCAGCTCCGCCCTCCCCGCGGCCGCCCGCGCACACCGAGCCCGCGCCCTCTAGCGGCCACCCGCCAGCACTGCCGGCCCCGCCGGGCTCCAGGCAGCAGCTCCGCCCCTTGTCCAGGACAGGATAATCGCCTTTTAATTATCTCAGGATTTCTAATTTGCAAGTTAAAACGTCCTACTCTTTAAATAATCTATGCTCCCTCCTCCTTCACTGATGTGCATTTTTATCTAAAAGGAACTTGAAACTCTTACAGATAAATTCATTATCTATGCAAGAAAATAATTTGGCAGGACCACGGCTGGAGAGAGAAGAGGCAGGTTATTTCGTGGCTTTGAACTCAGGCATGTCAGTGAATCTCCTGCTGCCCAGTCTCACTGTAAATAACAACAGTTATTAAGAGGTCACTGGATATAAGCACGGAAAACATAAACGTTTCTATGCATTCATAACGAAAAAAATAAAACAAGGGGAAAGCAACTGTATGTCTTGAAGAAACGTGATTCATCGAAGTTTGCCAGAGCAATTTTCAAAGTTTGCACGACAACATGCCTATTGAATAAGAGTGTTTAAGATCAAATAGCACTCTTTGGTGCCCACAGGCAGACAGACAAGAAAGAGCCTGGAAATGCATTGATAAGATCAAACTTGAAAATGGCAAAACTGAATTTCTTTTTTCTAAATAGTCAAACTATCCCAGAGCCATTCTATAGGTCTGATGATAGTAGAGAATCATTCCATACTAATTATAGTGATTTCCAAACAGCAAATAAAATGATGATCAGATGTGTAGATTAGGGCTACCATGAAAACCACTGGGGCAGCAAGGAAGACAGTTCTACCCCGTTCGTCGAAGAGAGTGAGAGCTTGGATGTGCTCTTCTGCTGTGAGCTGTTTTCTAGCAAAATCGCTCCGACCGATGTTTTAAATGTTTGCTGGCTGTGTGGAATCTGCTTGTTCTTTCCCATACAGATGGACTCTCCTCTTAGATTTCTTTCTTTCCAAATATTTCAGACCCTTGGCTACTCTCAGCCTGCTTCCACAACCCATTTTGGCTTTTAAAACAGATAAAAGACCAGGAGGCAGGGGAACCTGCGGAAACAGCAACGGCAGAGATTTTGATTTGAAAACCAGTCTCCCTTGCCACCCCACAGCTGTGAACAGCTCCTTCTCATCTGCACCCCTCACCGATGGCTTTTAAAATGAGACTCTTTATACTTTCTGAGCACATAATTTCAGGGTCAGTGAGTCCCCTCATGAGGACTGGAGTACTACAGGTCAGGCATGTGTCCCAGCGACATCAAATCACAAAAGCAATCTTAAGCTGCTTTTCTTATCAAGATAATCTTCCAAATAGAATTAAGGTTTTAATACACGCTTCTTTGGAAGCCGAAGTATCTTCCCCCCTAAATGTCTGTAGCCTCCTCTAAGTGATGATGCAGGCGTCTAACCTCTGTGAATCCTGTTTTATGTGTAGGGTGGGGCACTCCGGTAACACACCAGAGGTCACGCTGCAGCCCAGGGCTCCAAAGCCCCATGACCGGGGCCATTATCTTTTCTATAAAAGCGAGGAAAGAAAATAAACCTTTTGTGGTTTCCATCTGTTTGTTTTTCTCCATCCTACCAAAATCTGTTCCTTCTCAAGCTCTCTCTTCTCCATCTGGCCTAACGATTTCCACGGGCAGATCATTTCAACTCGAGGGGAGCTATGTCAGCAGGAAGACTTCAATAACACGAGTCTCGTCCTTCCCTATTTCCCCTAGTCTTTTCACTGAATGCCCAGGATGACGAGGGGGCAACGATGGAGAGCTCTGGGTTCTGCCTTCCTTCTCCTATAGACCCGATTGTTCTGCTGGGTGTGCATCCCCTTGGGCTAATGAGTGCTTTCCCTCTCATCTCCCCTCACGGCTACCCCAAACTGCATCATCTCCCCTCCACCTAGAAAAATGCCCATCTTCATCCCTCAAAACACAAAGGAAGACAAAGTCAACATGGAGTCGATACACAATCACCACGGTCTCAATGCCTGTTTTGGAGGACAGCATGGAGTCGATACACAATCACCACGGTCTCAATGCCTGTTTTGGAGGACAGCATGGAGTCGATACACAATCACCACGGTCTCAATGCCTGTTTTGGAGGACAGCATGGAGTCGATACACAATCACCACGGTCTCAATGCCTGTTTTGGAGGACAGCATGGAGTCGATACACAATCACCACGGTCTCAATGCCTGTTTTGGAGGACAGCATGGAGTCGATACACAATCACCACGGTCTCAATGCCTGTTTTGGAGGACAGCATGGAGTCGATACACAATCACCACGGTCTCAATGCCTGTTTTGGAGGACAGCATGGAGTCGATACACAATCACCACGGTCTCAATGCCTGTTTGGAGGACAGGCAAGGGAGAGACCAACTTGTCACTCTGCACCATGAACTGTGCAAATTACACAGGCTCTTGTGCCCGGTCCTTGATGTTTACTTAAGCTGTTATTTTCATACCGACTCACCAGTGATTATTACAAGCCACTTGCCACTTGAAAGAGGCCTGAGAACGCAGAAAAACAGAATTCTCAGGAAGAAGCATTTCTTTTTTTCTGTCATTTGCTGATTTTGTGTGTGTGTGTGTGTGTGTGTGTGAGAGAGAGAGAGAGAGAGAATAGGGAAGAGGAGAGGGAGAGAAAACAAACCAAAAAGGGAAACTGGACTATGATTTAAGGTAATTCACAGACAAAAGCAAATCCCTTTTAGAAAAAATAAAAAGGCAGTGAAGCAACAGAAAAAATTATCAAGTACTTTCCATCTATCACCTTTCATAAGTATATTCGCCTTAAAAATAAAGAAGGAAATAGCAGATGACAGAGAAGCTGAAGTTCATTAAGCCTGGCATAGATTCTTTCCTGGTATTTTCATGTACTTGCATGCAGTTTAAATATTTACTTAGGAAATGGGTCATTTAAAGAATCAGCTAATGGGCAGCTTCCCTCCAGTTTACCCAGCAGCTGGACAATCCCACCCCACTGTGTAGCTGTTTCCGAGCCACTGTTCTCTCCACAGTGGGAAGCCCTTGTTGTTAATATGTGCATATTCACCACAAAGTACCTTTCTTCTGAAAAAGAAGATTCTCCATAAGAGTCATTTCACCAGTGAACTCCTCTATTGAATTGAAACATGATTTGGCTTGAGCAAAACCTATTTATACAAAACCTTTACATCTATCATGTACTATGAGGCACCTTTATAAATATGTATTTTTTATTATGCCATTTGTTTCTTTTCTATTTTCAAAATACTAAACATAAGACTCTAAATATCCCTTTTACATTTTCAGATCTATTTTGTTTTAAAACATTCAGGTTCCTTTTAACAAATTGGAGCTTGGAAAAATTATTCTTTCTTTTTAATCTTTACCAGATGTTGTTTATACACAAACAATTTTTTCAGTACTCCATAATGCAATTATTGTTTAATTAGTGATAAATCTGTCATTCCTGGGCTTAAGAACAAGTTCCAAATGTACTTTTGCGTCTTAAATTTACATGAGCTCTCCTCCGTATTTGGACACAGAAGTGGGAGGCACAGGGATGCCCAGCACCCCCTCCCCAGCCCCCTACCCCTGCCTGAAGTCCTAGCCTTGCCCAGTGGCCTCTGTCCAATTAGCCAGGGTAGCCCAGGCCGGAAGCAAGCTCCTGGCCACCTGCTGCTTCACAGCTCAGCCTGAGTGGCCATGACCCCTAGGTCCATCCCTGCTTTGTTTCGGGGTTTTTTCCTCTCTCCCTTCATCTCTGACCACAAGGTCTGCATCCCCAATTGCAATTCCAACTGCAATTCCATTGCAAGGAAACTTGCAGTGTGGGCCTCTGTCTTCACAGAGACGATGCTGGAGGATCTGGTGCCCCCCTGAGGCTAATTCTGGAAAGTGCAACTCCAGTCCAAGACGCAGAATCTTCCAGCTTTTAGCAACACACATCAGCCAGCACTACCGGACCACTGCTAAATTATCTACTCCAGCGCTTGTTCAATTACATGCACCACATTAAAGAGCTCAAAAGGAAGTGCTGAAAAGACTGAAATAGCAGGAAAAGAAAACCCTGGCATGTTACTGAAAAGCTACTTAAGCACGGCAAACTGACGACATCACCCAGGATGTGGAGTGAACTCTTTAGCACGGCATTTTACCAAGGAGGAGCTGCACACTGGGAGTCTGTGGAAAGGAAGTTTCTTTTTCTTTCTGAAGTGCTATAATTGCTACCTGGAGAATGAGGAAAAAAACACATCCTATCCCATACCAAGGAGGATATATACTGAGGTATCTAGATGCTTTTTATTCTTAAGTTCTTATTAGATAAATCTTCTGAATTGCACCATAAAGATTTTTAGGTAGGAGAGAAAATGAAGCATATTCTGGTATCAACTGTTAGTGAAACAGAAACAGAACACTCAGCTGGGTGCCTCCTCTGCTCCTTTTGTTTTGGGGACAAGTCTGCCTGGGAAGATGAGGCTAGCTCCTCTGGACCCAGCTGCGGGTGGGCTCTGCTGGCAAAGGAACGAAAGGGAGGGCATGGGAACCGGGTACCTTCCAGCCCTGGCATGCAGCTTGCCAGCCAAGCACAGTGCCACCCTGACACCCTGCAGACACTTTTCATTCCAATGTGGAATCCAAACAATAGCTTTCTGGGCTCCACAAACAGAACTGTAACTAGAAAACATAACATCCTTCTAATTTTGGGCCAGCCTTGGGAAACCGAACAATGCCAAGAAGGCAGCATAATTAACAAGTGGCTTTCACTGCTGTGGGTGACATCAGTTTTTAAGGTCAGGTCTGAAGCTACGGATTATGGTCTTCCTGTGCCCGTGCTGTCAAGGGAAACACAAGACCATCTGCTTTTGAAAAGTTTCAGTCTGTACAGTAAATGACCATCTAGGGCTAATACCTCGCTTGATGTAGGAGCCACCAACTGTGGCGGACAGCATGACTTGAGGGCAGTCCGGTCTACCGCATGGAAGCCAAAGGGGAAGCCTCAAAAGTGAACGGGCTTTGAAAACTTCTCTTTCATTTTAGATGTTAAATACATACACAGTCATTTGGAACTCAGGTAATAAGAGACTAATCCCTCATTATTCATGGTCTTAATGGAAAATACCAGACCTGCGAGTCCAAGAGGCCAAAGAACATGTGGGAAGGTCATTTCACTTCGTACAACCTGTACCACACTTTTATCTTTTGTTTTTGTTACATTTTGGTAACTACAGAATTTCCAGGACTCATTCTGGATAGTCCCAAGAGAGAGAAACATAATTAACAGTGCTCTATATAAAACACAAGTTATGTAGACCATCACACTTTAATTACTCTCGGAATCCAACCCTAATGTAATAGGCATCAGGTTTCCGCTGGAGCACGGCGCAGCAGTCTCGTGCTATCTGAGTCTCAGAGATCTCTCTGATACTTCTGAACAGTCCTGTCACTGCACCAAGATGCTGCACTGCGATAAATGAATCAGATGATGCAATTAGGAAGCAGGCTCTTCAGGTTACCCCTGCAGTCACTTAGCCACATCACAGGCCTATTCCAGCCTGCCTGGCTTTCTGGCACTGCAGGCCCGGGATGCTGAGAACAGCCCACACCAATCAGGGGCTTCCACTCATCGTCTGTATTTTAATTACCTCCTGGAACCATGAGGCGCAGAGAGGTCACATCCTGCCAGTGCCACAATACATTAAACCAAATAACACCCTCTAGAATCCCCCTTTAGCCATAATGGAAGCTCTGAATTTCTGCACACATGATCCTGATAAAAGCTTTTGTAAGTCAGCGGAAGATTACTGTAAACTACAAACTGGAGACTGAGCATTATACAGTGATGTGCAATGGGACAGCCTGCGTTCGCTGTCTTGCATCTGCTGTGCTCACCACAGTGCTACTCAGGCATGAGGACCACAGGCAAAAAGGACATGGAGAAGGTTCAGAGAAGAATCCAAGGATTAAGGAAAGGCTGGAGAAAAGGCAATGGGACTAGAATTTCTCAACGGGAGAAGACTTAAAGAAAATGTCATAAGCACCCTGGGAGCAAGCACATAGCCCAGTTACTATATTTTGCCACTGAAAAGGGCCCAGAGAAACTGAAGTCCTAGTATGCGCATGTCAGTTAGAAACAGATTTAGTGGACAATAGAGGTAATTTATGACCTTGAATCACCAGGAATGGGCTGTCAGAGGACTTCTGAAAGTCGTGATTTATTTTGAATTGTACTGCAATTCAAATAATGCACCTTATTTTAAAATAAGGTGCATTCCTATTTCTTGCCTTAATATACGACTCTTTTGGATGGTACGGTTAGGTAGTAATTATCCTTAAGAAATCTCTTTGGGCGCTCTCAGTCTTAATATACACACGTCTTCCTTTCTCTTCTATCATGGCAAACGTTCAAGTCAGGTGGGATCAGTGTGTGCAGCCTGAGGTATGGGTGAGAGCAGCGTGGCTGTCAGCACCTGCAACCCTATGCACGTCGCCCTGGGAGGCCGAGGGGAAGGGTGAAAGGGGCCATGAAACAAGGGGAGAAACGGGATCGAGGAGGAAGGCAACTGACTCCATTAGGATTCCCTTAGATAGTCTGCAACTAGAAAGAGAAAGAAAGAAAGAGCACAGAAGTCCCAGCTGCACTAAACAAGTGGAAGGGCTCTAGGAGGTAGGACAAGTGGGCACAGCCAACCCCAGAGACTTCCTCAGTCTCAGCTCAAGGGCGAGGGTGAACACTCCCTCCTTCCCAGAGTCCCGGCCAACAACTGAAGACCGGACTGTTCCCTGTGGCTCTCGGAACTCACTTTCTCTGCTTGTAGGAAGCAGGAAGAGGTGGAAGGCAATCTCTGTGCCACATCGCTGCAGGTTCTGAAAGCTAAAGGGAAACAGGGCAGAGTCCGCTGGGGCTCCTGGAAGACAAAGCAACTGCAGGTTTCTGAATCGTTTTTTCAGGGTGCCTTGGTCTTTATTCCCGTCCTACAAAATGTGCTCCAGTCCCACAGAGCTGCCTCCCACGAAGGAAGATGACTGGCGAGTCGGTGGTGGCGAGGGCCACTGAGAGCCCAGCGTGCCAGACACCGGGCCCAGAGGTGGATGTCCACGTGGGCTGGAGTTCCCGGATGCACAGTCCTAAGGGGGAAGGGAGCCGGCATCACTGCACGGGGGAGGGTGAAGGCAGGTGGCCTCACACCAAAAGAAAACTTACAGAAGTCTTAGCAGGTTCTGCTGCTTTAACCATTTTTCTGGGGTTTTGTGTCTCTCGAGTATTTCACCTTTCCTCTAGTGAAGAGCTAAAAGTTTATTTTTTGAATGTTTTTAATTGATTCCTCCTCTTACCCAAAAGTTCATTTCTAAAAACTTATTTTCCATGCTGAAATAATAAATACTGTTTTTAAAAAGTCTGTTGTGCAAATGTCAATTCTTGTGAACATGTGATATATGGCACATCAATCAAGTAAACCTCGAATCTCTCCCTGCATGCTCCAAGGATGCAGAAAAGCCCCTACGTTAGCAATTTCAAAAATAAAATGTAAATACATGATTATTTATAAAGGTTCCAATTGCTCTTTTGTTTACATCCCCCCCTTTCATTCTGACTAAAAGAAATGATTCCCAGCATCTCCTTCAAGGACTTTTTCCCTTCATCAAAGCCCAGCACGTACCAGCAATGAATCTTTTATAAAGCATTCGATCCTTCTCAGACAATTTCTCTCACTGGAGATTAGCTTTTCAAAAAGATGCAGCATTGCTTTTTCAAGGCTGGGAAGGTGCCGAAGCCAGAGGCAGACTACAGCCGACATGGGGAGAGAAATCTTCTTCCTTTCAGAAATAAATAAACAAAATTTTAAATAGAAATGGCTTACTGAAAAAAGAAGATTAAGAAAGTTCAAAATGCAATCACTAATCCAATTTGTGAGACTTCTTCTCATCACGGTCATAGCAGTGGCTAATAATTTATAGAACCAGTGAATATTTACCAAGTACTCATTTGCAAAATAATGTGAATATGCTTCCACTTCAACTCACCTTAAGAAATCAGAAATGCTTAGGGAAAAAATTGCTTTCAAAAAGAATAAGCGAATGTCTACTGATGGAAGAAAGAGGGAGTGATAAAAAACGGGATGGAAAGGCCTTGTGATGCCCAGTCCCTAACTGAAGAAACAAGCGTGTTCAAACGTGTGTCATCATGCCTCACAATAGGGACATGGACCTGGGTTTCAGTCCCAGCGCCACTGCCTACTGATTGTATGATCTTGGGGAAGTTCACCTCAGTTTATTTATCCGTAAAATGGGCCTATCTCCTTCACAGTGTTCTTGTAAGGATGAAATGCAACAACACACCTGCAGTGATTAGCACAGGGCTTGGCACATAAACATTCAATAACTGTAACTGTAATCGGTTGCTTGAAAGTTGAAAACATTTCTAACAATTTCAAGGCCAGATGCAGTGGCTCACACCTACAATCCCAATACTTGGAGAGACTGAGGTGGAAGGACCACTTGAGCCCAGGAATTCAAGACCAGCTTGGTCAAACAGTGAGGCCCTGCATCTACAAAAAAAATGTTTTTTAAAAAATTAGCCTGGCATGGTGATGTCACACCTGTAATCCCAGCTACTTGGGAGGCTAAGGCAGGAGGATTGCTAGAGCCCAGGAGGCTGAGGCTATAGTGAGCTGTGTTCACATCGCTGCACTCCAACCTGGGCAAAAGAGCAAGACCTTATCTCAAAAGAAAAAAATCCAACTTCATATATGGTGGTTATAGCCCAGTTGGTGCACTGGACCTTAAGTATGACACTGGATAGGTTAGTAGGACTGGGAATCAAAGGTTCCTTAAAAAGAAAAAAATTTATATATATATATAAATGTGATCTCCCGCTCACACCCTGAGCTTCAACTTGTCCAGGACCCACCAGCAGGCCCCGTTCCTCATCTCCCCACCTCCCACACCTGGCAAAGCCCTGCCATGGTGCCACACCCCCTCAATACTGGACATGCCATGTACTCAGATGAAAAGAAGGGAAGAAATGATTTCTGGAGGATTTACTAAGAGATCAGTTTGAAGTGTGTGGATTTGGAGTGTCTGAGGCACAATCAAGCAGATATTCAACAGGTCCTTGAATATCCAAGGTGGAAGCTCCGGGAGAGGTATGGGCTGAAGGCACACATCTGGGTGACAGAACCCCAAGGGAGGAAGCTCTGAGTGGAGAGGCAGGCAGGGGAGGAGGAGCAGCTGCAGATGGCAAGAGGCGCAGAAGCAGAGGACGCTGTCCCCAGAGCACAACACGACACAGGCCTCGGGCAGGGAGTGTGCCTCTGAGCAGTGCCGCAGAGGGCGAAGGAACCCTGGGTGTGCCGGGCAGGCCCTGGATGGGAGCGCGTGGCGGAGGGAGGAGAGGAGTGGAGGTGAAGTCAGGACTGGAGATAGGACTTCAGAGGACTGGCGGTGACAGGAGTGATGCCAGGCGGGGGCCCAGAGGTGGGGCCTAGCGTGCTCCTGAAAGGCTGCCGACGGGCAAGGCGCAGAGGAGTGGGAGAGGCTGAGCAGCAGGGGCTGGAATGATGCTGTTTCGCTTGCACTTGAATCCCCAGAACAGCCCGACAAAACAGGTACAAAATTATCCCTTCCCCGCACAGAAGAGGCAGCCAAGGTCAGAGAGGACCAGGACTCGCAGCTGGTAAGACCTGAAGCCGGGGGGCTGAGGCTGGAGTGAGTACAGGGCCACACTGGCTCTGGAGGGGTGCAGGAAGCCGGGCCTGGGCTCAGCGGAACAGCGGGCAGATTGACTGGGTGGGCCAGACGCCGTGCCTGTGCTTATGCCCCTCGTGAAGAGGAAAGGCTTTTCCATCCAGGTGGTCAGCCAATTCTAGCCGCATCAGTGGAGCCCTGGGGAGGGGTTCCTGTCCAGTAATCGGCGGGGAGCAGAACAGCCCTGGGTGTGGAGAGGGTGCTCGTAGCTTCCATCATGGAGCCAGGAAGCTCTGAAGAGGAGAGTTCGCCTCTCAGTGGCTCCTGCCTTCTCAGGCAGCAGTGCTGGCTTTGACCAGCCTTCCTCATGCCTCATCTTTTTCCAGGATCCGTGTAATACGAATCTGTATGTCACTGGAAAGGCGTTTCACTGCAGCCAGAGATCTTCTGCCAGCACCACATCCTGGCCGAGAGCCACGGCACGGTGCGTGTCATTCATCCTGCCAGGGGGTGGCGGGGAGGCTGCCGCAGCACTCGGGCCCGGCCACCAGGAGCAGCAGCAAATTCACAGAACCGACCCGTCAGCGGCAGGAACGGACGGACACCGCATGTCACGCAGGCACACGAGTCACACTCCAGTCATAAAGCGCGTGGTGCGCCCGTTCTAGTTTGAAAACAATGTGTGTTAATGGCTGTCTTTTTATTAGAGCCTTGATTCAGAGCACACTCTACTAATTGCTGTGAGTGATTACGTTTATGGACCCATGTTTAATTTTGGATAGATTTTGCTCTAAAATATCAGTGACTTAACTCTTTGTAATCACTCCTGAATGAAGGAATCGCTGAAGCAGTATGATCTTGATATGCTTGCCTAACAGAATTTGGCCAAGCCAACATATTTGTATTCTACATGGTGCTCTGAACCAGGCTGGGTTTAAATAAAAAGGCAAATCACAGAAAAAGCACTGCAAATGGCCTTTAAAAACGTGCAGCTCTCTCATCTAACAGTAAAGGAAGGGAAATGCACCAATGCAGTCTCAGTTTCACCTTCCCCATGCAGGCGCTGAGAAGAGTGACAACACCCAGTGCTGGGGTAGGCACAGGGTGCGCCTCCTCACAGGCAGGCGGGCAGTGGCTTCACACGGCCAGTCATGTGGTGCCACTGAAGAAAATGCAAGACACACACCCCCGTCTTCATCATCGTACTGCTGTGAATTTGCCTGGCAGAAACCGAAACATCAGTCTGAGGATATTCATTGCAATCCTTAAATATGATCAGGACAAAACTAGAAACACTGCAGTGTGCACCCATGGGGACGACGGCACAGAGTGTGGGCCTTGTGCCATGGAGCATGCCCCTATTTCAAATGAGCTGGATCCGTGTCCTGGGAGGGGTATTTAAGACGTGTTGGTTAACACGCAGGCTCTGGAGTGATGTGGCTCCTTTAGTTTCGACAGTGAGCAGAAAATGGCTTTATATGGACTTTATGTTTAACAAGCATAAGGTATGGCTACCAGAATTACTGGAGGATGAGGAGGAGGAGGTAATGAACATTTTCTGTATATACCCTGTGCTGTATTGTTTGACCTGACAGAATGAATATATATATCTACACACACACACATATTCTGTGGAAAATTTAAAGAGCCAATAAAGTAAAAAAGAAAAAAATGTTTTTAGGGAGACTAAAAAATTCCATTCTGTTCAATGCATTAGTGACAGAAACGCTAAGGTTGTCCTTTTTCTTCTCTATACTGGTTCCATCCATCCTGCCTGGAATTGACCAAAATCATGAATTCAAGAAAACAGAGTAAGATAAAAACTTGACTCCCCCAAATCCCTACCTAATAATTAGGAGAGTTTTCTGTATCGCAGTTATGTTTTAGGGAACGGATAGGACATTCAGAATTTATGTGTAATACATTACTATTTTCTCCTTTAAAATAATGAGCAGTAGGCTTCCAATCAGGGCTCCACTTAGAAATCTGATTTACAGTGACAGTGTCTGACATGAGGCAGGGAAGCCTAAACAGGACGTTCTCCCCTGTCCAACAGACTCTTCCAACAGATGCCTCCTTGACATTTAGAAAACTCTGCTTTGTTTCCCCCAAATACTGAGTTTAGTGAGGAAGTTGTGTTTTCTCAGCCTTTCCAAAAAGAGGTAGCAGGTAAAGAAATTGGTCCAACGGCTTATTAAGTAATTTTGGCTCCAAATATTTTTATAGCTACAAAAAACGAAACAAAACAAACAAACAAAAAACCAGAATGCAGAATTAAATTCTTCACAAGAAAGGTTCTTGCTGAGGGAGGCCCATCTGAGGGGCTGTGTTCTAAAGCCGAGCGGTAGAGAGGCGGCCAGGGCTTCCTCAGCCCAGACAAAGGTGCGCCGGCAACAGTCCACCTTTTCAAACCAGAAAGAGACCAAGGCTGTTTGGGTTGCCAGAGAAACTCACAAAACTTGGATTGAACTGTTCTGGAGAACTGCTTAATTCCAAGGAACTGAAAAGAACACTGTTTGATCCTAAAGTTGTATTTAGGTGACAGCCTGATCTAAGCAATGCATCATAATTCAAAGGTTGCCATCATTATCATCTGTATGTGCAGAGCAGCTCACTTCTCAAAAGGCAGCCGCCAACAAGCAGAAGAAATGTCCAAACCCAAACACACCAGAATGTCTGTCAATTACACATCAATAGCAGCAGATTTTTGTTAGAAAAGTAAAGTTTTCTATGACTAAATTTGTGACCATATCTTATTAAGGTTAAAAAAACAGGATGTGGCCGGGCACAGTGTCTCATGCCTGTAGTCCCAGCACTTTGGGAGGTCGAGGAAAGTGGACTGTTTGAGTCCAGGAGTTCAAGACCAGTCTGGGCAACATGGCAAAACCTGGTCTCCACCAGAAATACAAAATAATTAGCAAGGCATGGTGGCACATGCCTGTAGTCCCAGCCACTCGGGAGGCTGAGGTGAAAGAATCACCTGAGCCTGGGAGGTCGAGGCTGCAGTGAGCCGTGGCTGTGCCACTGCACTCTAGCCTAGGTGACAGAGTGAGACCCTGCCGCAAAAAAAAGAAAAAAAAATAGATACGAGGAAGTCTCTCTGTTTCAATCATGGATAAACAATATTAATA